GAGCGAGGTGACCTGGGGACCCAGGGACGAGGGCTCTGCGGGGATAGGAGGCTGGCAGACGCGGGGGTGGCTCCCTGTCGGGAACCCTGCAGACTTGGACCTGAAGACCCCGAGAGCCAGGCTGTAACTGGTAAAGACACGGTCATTCAGAGGCTCAGGGCAGGGGTTGCCTGGTCATTCTGGGGTCGATGTTTGTTTTCATCTGTGTTCAGACACGATTACAGAGTGGTCCTGGGTTTGTCTTGATTTGTCCCTGCCTTAGGGTGGCTTCATCTCACACAGCTGCTCGGAGAAATTGTGTCCACCAGGAAAGCACTGGGGCTGCCCACATCTGTCTCAGGTGTTGAGGTGGCTTTGCTCTCTCTTGCTCACAAGAAGGCCGTTTACGTTTATCATATTTGAATTTTTTTCTAATGTGACTACACATAATGTCTCCTTTTTCATGAGTTAGAATGACATCTATTTGATTCTAACTCCAAAATACATTTAAGATGTATCAAATTTTTATGGAGAAAACTAAGAGTTAGAATTGTATATTTATCAGCCCTATCTGGAGTGGGGATTTATTTCACATTTTCTCAGTTTTCACTGGGGAGTTGGGAGGACAAAAATGAGGTAATCCTTCTACAGGAAAGCTTGGTATAGGAGAGTTATAAAATTTATATGGCTGTACTTTTTGCATTGTTTCTGACAGTGTAATCACAGTTCTGGGAATGTATCCTGCCCTTTCCTGGGACACGTTGGTACAGGTTGAAATGACACCTGTGCAGTGAATTCATCATATTTATGGCGGGACAATCTTGGAAACACCTCAAGCGCACAATTACAAATGATGATAACATAAACTACAGTAAATCTATGCGGTAAAGCGCATGCAGCTGTGATGGAAAGAATGAGGGACCTGTCCACTTACTGATGTGGAAAGACACCAACATAATGTCATTAAGTGGAAAAAAATATGGAGAATGACAAATAAAAAGAGACAAGACGAAAAAGATGACTACCAATATTCACATCTATATACATGACACTGCACACACGGGAGATAAAGTAATCGCCTTTATTTGTGAGGTGGACTGGGATGTATGAAGGAAATGACTTTTTGTTTGTTTTTCTTTTGTTGTTTTGTTTTTTTTTTGGTATGGGGGATCGAACTCAGGACTTTGCGCTTGCAAGGCAGGCGGCAAAACCACTGAGCTAAGTCCCCGGCCCTGCTTTTGAGTTTTTGAGACAGGTTCTCACTATGTAGTTCAAACTGGCCTCAAACTCAAGCCGATCGTCCTGCCTCAGCCTCCCAAATGCTAGGGTTATAGGTGTGTACCACCACGCCCTATGCGCAAATGGCATTTTAAATAATTTTGGTGATGGCGCATGCCTGTAATCCCAGCTTTCAGGAGGCCGAGGAAGGAAGATTCCTCAAGTTTGAGCCCAGCTTGGGCTACATAGTGAGTTCAGGGTCAGCCTGAACATCATAGTAAGACCTCATCTTGGTCTGGCGGTTTGAACGAGACGAAGATGGAACCGGAGCCGGGCGCGGGCTGGGGACGCGGTTCCCTTGAGAGCCGAAGATGGCAGTGAATGTATACTCGACGGCAGTCACCAGTGATAATCTAAGTCGACATGACATGCTGGCCTGGATCAATGAGTCTCTGCAGTTGAATCTGACAAAGATCGAACAGTTGTGCTCAGGGGCTGCCTATTGTCAGTTTATGGACGTGCTTTTCCCTGGCTCCATTGCCTTGAAGAAAGTGCAGTTCCAAGCTAAGCTAGAACATGAATATATCCAGAACTTCAAAATACCGCAAGCAGGTTTTAAAAGGACGGGTGTTGACAAAGTAATTCCTGTGGATAAATTAGTAAAAGGAAAGTTTCAGGACAATTTTGAATTCGTTCAGTGGTTCAAGAAGTTTTTTGATGCAAACTACGATGGAAAAGAGTATGACCCTGTACCTGCTAGACAAGGTCAGGAAACTGCAGTGGCTCCTTCCCTTGTTGCTCCAGCTCTGAATAAACTGAAGGAACCTCTCAGCTCTAGCAGTGCAGCTCCACAGAGACCCATTTCAACACAGAGGACTACTGTGACTCCTAAGGCTGGCCCCAGGGTGGTGCTGAAGAATCCTAGTGTGGGCAACGGGATGATGAAGCAGCTGAACTGATGCAGCAGGTCAACATATTGAAACTTACTGTTGAAGACTTGGAGAAAGAAAGAGATTTCTACCTTGGAAAGCTAAGGAACATTGAATTGATTTGTCAGGAGAATGAGGGGGGAAATGACCCTGTATTGCAGAGGATTGTAGACATTCTCTATGCCACAGATGAAGGCTTTGTGATACCCGATGAAGGGGTCCCCAGGAGGAACAAGAAGAGTATCAACACCCTGGACCAGCAGAGCAGTGTCAGAATTCTGTACTCCAAATCACGTGCTTAACTGTAAAAAACTCTCTTTCCTTATTCTTAGAAGATTCACTGGTTTCTTTTCATAAGCAAAAAATACCTCTTTTTAAAAGTGCACTTTGCAGAAGTTTCACTCCTTTTCCAATAAATTTGAGTTAGGAGCTTTTACCTTGTGGCAGAGCAGTATTGACATCTAGGTGGTTCATTTGGGGAACAAAGAGGCTGAATGGGGCTTATCATGGGGATGCTGGTCACCCTGGTTGCTGGAGAAGGTGTTTTTCTGTAACGCACTGAGGTGCCAACCTCAGTAGAGAAATGTAAAGACTGAATTGAATTTTAACCTAATGTGAAATCTTGGCAAAGAATGTGTTAATAAATGAATGCCTTAAGAGTATTTAAAATATGCTTCCATATGTTAAAATAATAAAATGTAACAAGACAGAAGATTTTATGTGTCTGTTGTGCCGGGGAAGGAAGGGCCAGACCGTGAAACCTTCAGAACCTACTGTTACAGGCCTTGCAGGGCTATGTGAATCCTCACAGGCCAAGGCTTTGACCCAAAAGGAAAGTTTAAGAAGTTGCTTTGTGAAGCCATTTGGTGTCATTGACCAATTGTATCCCTGCTAAATGCAAGCGGCATGGTTGCTTAGATGAATAGAGGTTATTCAGCCCTGAGGTGTTTGAGGTGAAGAGCTCGGTTTTTATTGAGCATTTCTCTGATGATTTTTTTTAGTTACCCCTGAAATTTCTGTTTATTATGTTTTTTGGGAAATGAGGTGTGTCCAGTTTTACAATTTTAACAACTACTGGGGACTTGCCACATCTCTGGGATTTGGACAGGAGTGTGTTCTGTTGTATTGTCTTTAAGTTTACCGTTAACATGTTCCTCTTCTCTGCTCCCCTTGCCCACTGGGACTTCTCTTTGGCTCCTAAGTTTGCTGCTTCGTGTTGAAAGTACAGCTGGCAGGCGATCTTGCTGCAAGTTCTTGCTGGACCTCTGGCAAAGGGAGTGATCAGTGAAGGCCATTGTTACCTTGGGATCTACAAGGCTGGGTTGTTTTCGGTATCTGCTGTCCACAGCTCTCCCCTGTTACCTGAATACTTTACCAGTGCACTAATCTCTTTGGAGATAAAATTCACGAGTGTGTTACTAAATGTTAATTTTCTTTTGCAGAAAATACAGTACCATGTCTGAATTAATTATTAATATTTAAAATATTTCATTCCTTAATTCTCCCTCATTTGCTTTTTGCCCATGGACTATTCAGTCCCTTTGTTTGGCAGAATCCTGCAAAATGTATGTTACCCACTACTGAGATTGTTGAGCCCCTGATGTGTTTGTATTGATTGGTTTCTCGTGGTAGCTTGTCCTAAAATGTGTGTAGAAAACAGGTATTTTATGATAAAATAATTGTGTAGTGCATGCTCTGTGTGGAATTCAGAGGAAAACCCAGATTCAGTGATTAACAGTGCCAAAAAATGCAAGTAACTAGCCATTGTTCAAATGACAGTGGTGCTATTTCTCTTTTGTGGCCTTTTAGACTTTTGTTGCCCTAAAATTCCATGTTATTGGGAAACCATTTTCCACGTGGTCTTTCTTGACAGGGTTTTTTTCTACTTTAAACAGTTTCTAAATAAAATTCTGTATTTCAAGAGAAAAAAAAAAGAACTCATCTCAAAAAAGCCAATAAATAATGAATGAATGATGAATGTTGGTGCTTGGGTTTTATATAATATACTGACTATTCCAGAAATTAAAATAACTCCGAGATATGTGTGATAGAGAATACTTTGTCTTTCTCTGAACTCATTGTGTGCTTCAGAAGCGTTTTGATCCGTTTCTTGTGTAATCTTTCGAGCAGTCGCTTGTGTTTCTCCACAGAACAGAACTGATCGGATGTGTTAAGTATGAAGACTGTTGTTTGTTGGCGGGTTGGGTTGTTGGAATTAAGGAGCTGGCTTGCGTGGTGGTGGGGCTAGCAAGACACATTTTTGGGGTGGCCCGAAGGCTGGGAACCAGGCAAGTGTCGGTGAAGATACGATTCCTGGTCCTTGGGGCCCGGGGTCGCCTTCTCCGAAGACCCTCCTCCCCCTGGCGGGAAGAGGGCCCGCACAAGTTAGGAAGGGCGGCCTCTCTCTCTCTCTCTCTCTCTCTCTCTCTCTCTCTCTCTCTCTCTCTCTGTCGCGCGCGCGCGAGTTGGAAGCCGCTCATAAAGCCAGTCTTGTCTGTGGGGAAGTTCCCCATTCGCAAAAAGAATTCTCCGAACCGGAGAAAGGTGCTGCTTGTGCTCCAGTCCCTGCCAGTCCGCGCCCGGCCTGCGTTAACCCCGTTGCATGCGTGTTTTTCAGGGTGGATCATTTGTACACGTTCTTTGTCCAGTGGTCTCCCGATGTCTATGGGAAGGATGCCAAAGAGCAGGGCTTCGTGGTGGTGGAGAAGGAAGAGCTGAATATGATTGACAACTTCTTCAGTGAGCCAACAGCCAAGAGCTGGGAGGTGAGCCGCTGGTTGGTGGGGGGCGAGGCGTCGTGTTCCTGAGACGCCGGACACAGAAGCCTGGCTGGCAGCGCGTTAGAGTGGTGAGGGGCTGGGTGGCGTTTTGGGCTCAGCGGGCCACATGGTCTCTGTCGCATGTGCTCTCTTCTGCTGTTGTGGCAAAGACAACTACTGGTGACCCGTGGAGGAGCCTGGCTGTCTCCAGTCATAACTTATTTTGTGTCACAAAACAGTCTTCTTTTTTAATTTTTTTAACCACTTAAAATCTATTCTAAGACTTGCTTACCTTGTGTGCTGTACGAAGGTAGACGGTGAACTGGACTTGGCTGACGGGCTGCACTGTGCCAACCCCAGGGCCCTTTCTTCTATCCAGACAAGTGTGCGCCAAGTCCCTCTTGGGGCCGGGCCCAGGAAATGGGAAGATGGTGACAAACGGGGCCCTGTGCTTACTGTGCTTGATGGCCTGGAAGGCTGGGAGATGAGCCTGGGAGAAATGAGTCTCCCCCTCCTCCTCCTCCTCCTCCTCCTCCTCGCCGCTAAGCCCCTGGATCTCTAGCGTCTGGTTCCTTGACTCCTCCTCTTCTGCTCCTCTCTGGTGCCTCTGAACATCACTTCTTTCCTGGCTCGGGGGCAGCCCCTGCCTGCCCTGCACAAATGTCTCCTCACACCCTCTCCACTCCCAGGACAAAACTGCCATAGAAAACCTGTCAACCCTAGCAGAGCTTGGTGGTGTGCCCCTGTGTGGTCCTAGCTCCTCGAGGGGCTGGGGAGCATCACTTGAGTCCATGAGTTCAAGACCAGTCTGCACAACAAAGCAAGACCCTGTCTCAGAAACAAACACAGCAGCCGTCAGCCAGGGAGAGCAGTCTGTTACAAACACCTAATTTCTGAATTCACCTGGGTCCTCTCCAGTGATTAGAAATCCTTTATATATCTCTAGTCGCCTCCCCTTTGTAACCTGCCCTGTTCTGGAGCTCTGAGGGCCCTTTATGGTCTGTGCGTCCCCAAAGTGGGCCTTTGCTTCATTTGTACAAAGAAGAGGCTATTGGACAAGGTCTTCCTCGCCTTGTCTCTTCTCTTCCTTAATCTCCCTGCAGTTGCGCCCTTCCTTTTTGGTTCGAGGTAGCGTGTCCTCCCCTCCCAACGGCAGACTTCTGTGTTTCAGTGAGGGCCGTCCTTTTGCATGGCAACATTCTCTTCCTTCACACTTCATGTTCATCGTCTCCCATTTCTCAGCTGCTCTCTCTCCTTACCACTGTCCACCCACTTTGTTCTGCACTCACCAGTGACATCGCCAGGAGTGTCCCCATGGATCTGACTGCCATCTTCATTCCCGGTGAATTTCCATTGCCTCTTTCCTGCCAGGTGCTGGTTCAGCTCTTGGGCACCCCAAGGGCAGGGGTGGTGTGACATTGGTCTTCCAGGCAGGGGACAGAGGAATATCAAGTCCTGTCCCCACCCAGTCACGCTGCCCCAAGAGCCAGTCTTAGGAACTGCAGTGGACCCTTGACTTACAAACTCAATTCGTTCACGAGGGCTGGTTGTGACTCAAGTTGGTCAGTTGAAGGCTCAGGCTCCTCTGCACAGCCTTCAAAGTCTCTCACCTGTGTACAGGCAGATCAGTGTCCTTAGCGAGCCACTGGCCCAGGATTTCTCAGTGAACCCCACATAGGAAAGGATGCTGTCATGTTCCTTCCAGAACTGTTTGAGGGTTAAAATTGTATCTGACAGAGTTCGATCCCTGGTACCAAAAAAAAAACGCTGTATCTGAGACCATCTGAAAGCATACGTGGCTGGCATTTGGGTCAGCATTCAGGTTTTAACTCAAGGCTGGTCATGAGTTAAAACTAAAATGCCAGCCGTAACCCAAGTTGTTCATATGTCAGGGTGGTCATAACTTGAGGGTCCACTGTATGACACAGGAAGCAAAACCAGAAAAGTCCATGTTCTTCCTGAACCCGACATCTTTTGCTGCAGTCCCCGGAACCCAGAACCCATCTCTGCATCCTCACTGAGCCTCAGCCCGACTCCCATGCCCACCCCTGCCCTTGTACGGATGCCCCATCTTGTAAATGGGTGGACCCACCTCCTTTTGTTCCCAGACAGGGTCTTAGTGCCTAGTGATGCAGGGGGAAGAGCTATGACTCCCAAACCTGCTAGATATCCGAAGCGCATGTTCATGTTCTCTAAAATCGAAGAATGAGGAGCAACAGAGGTAAAGTATAGGAGAACTTTATTGAGAGAAAGACAGCTCCTGTCTAGGAGAGGCAGAATGGGGGCCAGAATGTGGGTTGCCGGCCCATCCTGCTTCTCAAAGTTGTTTATGGGACAAACTCAAGAAGTGAGGGGGTTGAAGGTGGGGACAAAACTATAGTCAGCTAGTGAGATTGCAAATGCAGTCACTTAGCTAATCCTGAGCTAGTGAGAGATCACAAGGTGGACGTGACACGGGACAAAATTATGATCAACAAGATTACGACAAGCATAGTCGCTTAGGTAATATTGATTGAATGGGGATCCAAGGGGGAAGCAAGTCCTGTAGCAAGCGGTACAAGGACCAAACAAGGATTTTTGTTAAGGGGCGGGTCAGGGATCTTTCTTGGAAAATCTTGGTCCCCCACACAGGTGGTTGATACCTATTTAGAACATAAAGCACTGCTGTTCATCCCAGGGAAGCCTGTGGGTGTAGTAGTTATTCTTCTTTTGTGATCTTGGCCTTCAGTGAATGTGTCTCCATTGTCCACCCTGTTGGCTGCTCCAGGGTAACTGCCTACAAGATATCTAATTAACTTTCCTATCTATGATACTAGGAAGTCCCTAACGCTGAGATATGAACCTAGGCACCCTACCCTAGGATAGGTTTGCAGGTTCCCTGACTTCCCTCATGAAAAAGCTTTGAGGCTGGTGAGCAAGAGGTGTGGGTTATTAATAAGACAGAAATTAAATTAGAGAGTGAGCTTGGCCAGAGAGAGCAGAGCCTGAGGCCAGCCCCAGGATGGGCATCCGGGAAGTGAGTTCTCCCTTCTGACCCCGCACCTGCCCGGCTGGGGTGTCAGGAGCAGACACGGGCGCCGGGAGAGAGCTGGATCTGCCAACATCGCCCCGCTGCTTCCTGGAGCGGAGCGCAGTGCGCAGGCGAGAAGAGGCGGCCTCGCTGGGGAAGGAAGCCGGTTTGCAGGGGAGGAGCGGATGCCCAGGCTCACCCGGCTCCTCCTCGGGGGAAGAGAGGAAAAGATTCAAACTGGACTTGTGTCTCGAAGCTGTAAGTTTTCTTAGAAGTACAGTTATAAAAATTTGATTTTCCTTGTGTGCTTTCTGCCAATCTGAATTTCCTCTGTCCTGCCTCGTCCTGGCTGCAGTAGTTTTGCATGCCCGTACCCTGTGGAGGCCGTTCCCTCATCCACACTTGTCCCTCCCCTGTCGCCTCATCCCCTGTCTGAGCTGTGTCCCCCATGCCGGGCACAGCGCCTCGGGACACAGGCAGCACTTGATGAAGGTCAGCTCTCACTGAGGGCCAGGTGCTCAGGCAGGGCTCTCTGCTGGGCAGATTCTGTGGTTAGGCTCCAGCGCAAGGGTCCGTTCTCCCACCGGGGACTGTCACTGATCTGCCATGGGGCAGCTCATAACCCAGCCTGCGACGGCCCCGCCCCGTAGGAGTCCCTAAGCCCGAGAGGCCAGGCCGCTGAGATCTGGAAAAGTCACAAAGATCAGTGACAGTTGGCCCGGGGGCTCTGTCTTTCCAACCCCTTCCATCTGATCCGAGGAGGAAGGACTGGTGACTGATGACTGCTTATTAGTCATTAAGATGAACTAAAGCACGTGAGGTGGTCGCTCTCACTTTGCCTGCTGGTTTGTGAAGCTGCCGGAAGGATGGCACCCTTCACAGCCTGGCTGGCAGAAAGCACACATGCCCTGCGTGCTCTCCTGTCCCTTCATCCTCCAGGTACAGGCCAACGTGTGGAGACGCCCTAACCGCAAGGAACCTGTGCAGTCCATGCGCAAAACTGAGTGTGGAGACAGAGAGTTTAAAATGGAGATTTACCTAGAGAAGGTGCCGAAGGGAACTGAAAAGGCAGGGTCGGGGAAGCTGAGCTAGCTCAGGGGTAATTAGGAAGAAAAGTAGGAGAAAAACTCCTCAAACAATAGGCTTGAGTTGTTCTGCTAGGAAACCACCGGGCGGTTTCAAAGGTGAAAGTGTCATTTTACAGTCTCCTTCTCTGCCCGCCAGGAAGTGTTTGCCTAAGTCCTAATTTGGGTGTGTTCCTGTGGAACTGTTGCACCCCCTTCTGAGGGAAACAGAAACTTAATCACGCAGGAAGTCAGACACTTAAAAACTGTGCAGCCCAGCGTGGCTGCAAGTGACTGGCGTGGAGGCAGAGAGCAGACCTGATCCTCCTTAGACAGCGAGTCGGCCCTTCTCCTGCCAGCATGAGAGCCCGGCAGCTGCCTGTGGACATTCAGATTTTCTATTATGCCGGGCCTGACCAGGAGCCCTTCGTGAAGGTGAGCCCGAGTGGCTGTGGACAGCCAGGTGCCAGCAGCTCTGCTCCCCTGGTCTTGGAAAGGATGGTGGGGCTTCTCTGCCCGCTTGGGTTGTTTGATTCGTGTGGAGCTGCACGGGGAAGCTGCCCCTTCCCTTGAGAATCTGAAATCCAGACTGAGATCTTTCATCCCTCGGCCCGTTTCGTGCCATTGAGAAATGGGGAGTTCCTGCAGAACTTTCTTTCAGGGGCTTTCTTTAGTACCTTTAAAATGCTGGATTTGTGCTTCTTTGGAAGTATTTTCTCTACATAAATTCTCCAGAAGGCGGTCAACTTTATAAGCTAATTTTCCTGCCAGACATTTGCCTCAGATAATTGTGGGCGCTCTGTAAGTGTCATTGTGCGGTTGGGAATTGAGCAATGCGTTCTCTCACAACTTTAACTAGATGTAACACGTGCTTTTTGCTCTGTGATACAAAAGCCAGTGTTGCCGGTTCTCAGGTATTCTGGTGAATCTGTTGTCTGGTAGAACTTAATTTCAAAATAACTCAGTAATTTATCCAGAATACAATAACTATAGCTACAATTAAATAATAATGTATATAGTACAATGTTTCTGAGTTTAGAAGGGAAGAATGCTGTTGATCATTTCAAACTGTATAATGAGTGATTTAGAGTCAATCTTCATGCTTCTCCTGCTGCTGCTAGCTGTTTTCCTACATTGTTTCTGTCAGATGTCGTTGCTAAGTGCGCAGCCCGGAGAGAAAACACCAGCAACCTTGATTAGAGCTGTCCTTTTGTTCCAAACTCCGTTTCGTACAAGACTCCCTGACTAATCTCTGATTATTTCCTTGACAGTTTAAATTTAGATGCAGGCTAACAGAATAGTTTCGAGTGTGTTGGAGATTATAAGTCGCCTGTGAGCTTATAAACAGTTACCACTCAAGGACCGAGCGAAGCAGGCCTGGAAAATGTGTGGCTTTAACTCACACATATTAAATGCCTCCGCTGTTGTTGTCCTTGATTCTGCACTTGTTCTGGAATTGAGAAATCAGCCCTTTCCCCAAGTCCTGTCCTTAATCTGCACCGAAGCTCCGGCTTCCCATGGGGAAGTGAGGTAGCTTGTTAGCAGTGAGGGCCAGCCAGAGTGACCCTGTGCCCGGCTGTTTGTGTGTCTGCTTAGATCATCACCGTCGAGGAGGCCAAGCGCAGGAGGAGCACGTGCAGCTACTACGAGGACGAGGACGATGGGGGGCTGCCCGTGCTGCAGCCCCACAGTGCCCTGCTGGAGAACATGCACATCGAGCAGGTGGCTCTCGGGGACTGGGCCCGGGCCCAGGGTTTGGGGGCCTTCTCTGCATCTGCTCCTGCTGGGTTACAGGGGCCAGCAGAAAGGAGCACTGGCAGCCTGTAAAGGGCTGGCCGGACCCCAGCCGTCCTGTTGGGACCGCACAGGTCCAGGGGCTGGAAAAGCAGCACAGCAAAGATACATTCATGCTGTGTGAGAAACACCTGGCTCCAGGAAGGACTTTCCTTTTTGTGTAATTTTCTTTGTGTGCTCTGTGCTCTGAAATCTTTTGTGTGCACTTACCTCTGAGCCTTGGGAGGGAATCTCTTAGACTTATGTCATCAGTTTAGTGACCTGAATTTCAGAGACCGCAGAGAATCATCAGCTCAGCTTCCTCGGCTTCGCATGAGCCACTAAGTGCCCAGGAAAGGCAAGAGAGGTGACCAAGTAGTCAGCGGGCGGGGGTCCCGCAGACATTGATTGGAACTGACTGAAACACTCCCAAGACTTAGCACTTCCTGGCTCCTTTGATCGTATTTTTAAGAGATTTCTGTTGGTGGTATTTGTGGTGGCCCAGTATTGATATAGGTGAAAAGTACGTGTGCGAAATGGACAGGCTACTTCTGACCCCCAGCAGAGAGTGATGTGCTTTAGTGCTCCCACTTCCATGGGAAGCTATAGTTACTGGTAGCAGCTCTGGGTCTACGAAGATTTTTTTTTTTTCCTCAAGACAGGATCTCACTGCGTAATTCAGGCTGGCCTCGAACTCACAGTGATCCTCCTGCCTCAGCCTCCCAAGTGCTGGGATTACAGGCATGCACCATCATGCTTGGCATGAGTCTATGAAAAAAAAGAACAATTAAAAAGTAGGAACTGTTTGGTAAAAGTCAGGTTGAGGTATGAAGTAAGAGTGGGTGTCTAGTCCTGCTTCATCTAGCTTGGTCTGCGTCTTTACATATATAATTGCATACCGCTCAGCGTCATTTCTGTCAGTGGCAGACCCCATGTGCGACATGGTCCCCTAAGATTGTGCTGGCTGGTGCCATTGGGTGTCAGAAGACCAGAGTTGCCCATCAACACACAGTGCGTGACCGAACCGTGTGGTGGCATAGGAGCCCCACACTCCAGCCCTGTGCGGGGCACGCCCTTGCTGAAAGAAACACTGTCGGGCAGCGATTTGTGTTTTCTCTTTCTCAGTGTCACATACTGACCTGGGTTAAGGGGCCCAACGTGTGAGTACGTGATTGTGAGTCTGAGCCCTGGGCACTTGTTTCGTGCCACACGTCTTCGAATAATCTGTGCCAGAGCCTCTGGTGACATCTCCTCCCTCGGGTTGGCAGCTGGCACGACGCCTCCCAGCACGGGTGCAAGGCTACCCATGGAGACTGGCCTACAGCACGCTGGAGCACGGGACCAGCCTGAAGACGCTCTACCGGAAGTCGGCGTCGCTGGACAGTCCGGTGCTGCTGGTCATCAAAGACATGGATAACCAGGTGGGGCCGGTCCCTGCGGTGGAGTGGTCTCGGTGATCATGTCCAAACCCACACAGAGTGGAGTCCAGTACAGCAAACTCCCCTTGCTCCATTGCACGGCTGGCGGGGCTTTGCCACTTCACATTGCTGAAGTAAATCCCATCACTGTCACCCCTGCGTACTGCAGAATCCTCTCTAAAAAGAAACCAGAGCAGATCCCCAAACACGGTCACATTCCAATCAATTTTTTTCCTATGCTGACCATGGATTAGGAAACCGTAATGATACTGAACAATCTAAAGGTGGAAAAATTGGGGGAAAGCAAATCTGGATGTGGAGATCATCGCAGAATAAGTTCCAGAGCCGTTCCAGGGCTTTTTCCCAGTAGCTAAGGCAACGCCCCCAGAACCCTGCTCGCTGGTGGCCGTACTGGGAGCCAGGCAAGGCTGTGGCTTGTTGTGCCGTGGTCCCAGCTTTGGGAAAGAGCAGAGAATGCACTGTGCTGTTCCTGAGTTTCCCCTAGGTGATGGGGGCCCTTCGGAGAGACACTGGGGAGCTCTAGGACCGCGTGCATCCGCCCCATGTTCTTCCTTACGAAGAAGCCCTCTACGATTTTAAGAGATAGATGCCATCCTTTTTTACTTTCTGGCCTTAAAGCAAATTTTATTCAATAGGCTTTCACTCATTATTCCAAAAGTTACTCATTGGAGACCTTGCTGTGAGGCACAGAATCTGTTGACAGCCTGCTCACCTCTTGATGAGCCATAAAGGTGGGATTATTTTAAGAACTAGAAGCCTGCTGTCATAATGAGTCTTGGGAAAAGTGATGTCTTTCTTGACGGTGATCTTCATGACTTTGTTTCAGTGCTGAGAGCTGTGGGGAGTTTAGCTGTTTTCATTTTGACTAGTGTCCTTTCCAGATCGGTAACGTGTTGTTCAGTAACAGTTAAAGCTGAGCAGTGGGTACGGTCAAGATTAAAATCAGGGCTGGGGATGCAGCTGGGTGGCGGAGTGCTTGCCTAACATGCGCAGGGCCCCGGACTCAATCCCCAGCCCTGCAGAAAGAGCAGATGTTGTTACAATGCGACTTCAAATGAAATCACTTAGAGATTTAATGAAATGTTTGAGAAGTTGGTTGCCGGGTGTTTGATGACGTCTGGGACTAGACACACAAACCCACACCCAAAGTGTGTATTAGTTCTTTATTTACCAGCGATAGCTGTCTCGGAAGTGTGATCCGTGCCGGGCAGGTCTGCGGGAGCAGTTTCCCGCCAGACGATGTGTGAAGGTAGCCAGCAGCCCAGCAATGTCAGGGCGTTGGGAAGTGGGGTTTCATGGATCGTGGTCCCTGGCGGTGCTTGTGCTGGGAGAGGACGCCTGGACACGAGCTCTGTTCTCCCTACCCCTCATCAGAAGAGAACACAACAGCACAAAACCTGTGAAGTTATCCAGAAATGGGTCATGCTCAGCTGTACATACAAACACGACATGTGCAAGAGGGGCAGCACCGCGGAGCTCTGCAGGATCAGCCCCCAGTGAAAACTGGTAGAAATTAGAAAAGCAGCAATCCCTTTGAGTCTGGAAATTGTCCTAAGGGCATTCAGCAAGAGAAGAAGTATTTCCTCAAGAAAATCTAATAAATCTCAGTAGTAACAGTGAGATTCCATGGCATGTGAGACAGCCCTCTCCCTGCTGCAAACCTCCCCCAGGTCAGGTAGCTGAGAGCTCCATTCCGAGAACAGGGAGCAAGAAGGTGGGACCCCTACCCCACTGGTATTCTACAAGTCTCAAGCAGCCCTGCTCCCCGCCTCAAGATCTGTGGTCTCTTGTGGGGGCTAACTAGGGATCGAACTCAGGACCTTGTGCTTGGCAGGCAGGCACAGCGCCACTGAGCTAAACCCCCCGGCTGCGGCCGTTTTTCTTAAGAGCTCCAATTTAGTCAGAATCTTGGCTGAAAGAGGTAGAGTGACATCGCAGATCAGGATCATGTCAGACTGTCGGAAAGCCTTTCCTGGGGAGTCTCAGGCTTCCCAGCAGGGGACAGACATCGCTGTTTTCTCTTGACAGATCTTTGGAGCATATGCGACACATCCCTTCAAGTTCAGCGACCACTACTACGGCACAGGAGAGACTTTTCTCTACACATTTAGCCCCAACTTCAAGGTACCTTGCATGCCTTAGAGGGGATGTTTAACTTCCCAGTGTCACACTGTCAGCTGGGGTGGGGCTGGCAGCCACAGTCCTGTGACCACATCTGGGCTTTCTGTGGCCCTGCTCAGCGTTTTGTGATGGTAGCACACAAACTTAGGGCCGGGCCTTGGGGGAGGCCCAGTCTGGGATCCAGCTCGGAGCCGTTGTGCAGCCAAAGGGTCTTTCCTGCTTCGTAGCTGCTTGGTGGCCCCACTCTGGGGCGGCCCAGGCCTGGTGGTCCGGAGATTCTTCAGTCCCACTGGTTCCCTTCCTTGAAAGTGTGCTAGCCAAGGTTTCCTTTTGGGCAACACTCCAGACTAAGGCATCTGTTCTGTTTTGTGTGCCTGTCCCTAGGTCTTCAAGTGGAGTGGAGAAAACTCATATTTTATCAATGGAGACATAAGTTCGTTAGAACTCGGTGGTGGAGGGTAAGGTTTTTGTTGTTATTGCTGTCTTAGCACTTGACCTGAGAGGGTCTGTTTTGACCCAGATAACTAAAATCTTGGTGTCAGTTGTCTTAATTTTAATACGTTTATAAAACACAGTGATTACATTCATAGTGGGGAGTTGGTGTATATGCATATCTTCATTCTTTTTATTTCCTCTTTCACATCCCTCTATCTCTAGATCCCCTTCCCATATGCAAAAGATCTCCTTGTTTCCTCTTCTCTCTTTTTTTTTCTATTATCTGTATTATTTTGCTCTTTATTTCTACCTTGGGTTTCTCAGGTAAGAGAAACCATGCATATTTAAGCTTTTGTATCTGGTTTATTTCACTTAACACCATGATCTTAAGGTGCATCCATTTTCCTACCAATGACTCGTTTGTCTTTCTTTATGGAAGAGTAGTACTCTATTGTGTATAAATGCCACATTTTCTTTGTCCATTCATCTGCTGATGGACATGTAGTCACTTCCAAGATTTAGCTGTCATAAACTGTGCTGCTACAAACATGGGTGTGCGTGGATCACCGTAATATGATGTCTTTAACTCTTTGAGGAAGATTCTTAGAAAGGGAATAGCTGTATTGAGTGGAATTTCTAGCTGCAATTTTTTGAGGCCTCTCTATACAGATTTTAGTTCATCCATGGGCTTACATTAACTAGAACTCTTCTGCCTAAATGAGACTGCTACCATTTGTGTTTTAGGAAAGATAGGCTACTTAAACGAAAAGAAGGAAGTAAACCACTTATTTTGTGAGCATTTTAGGGTTTTACCTATCTGTGGCATAAAGGAAGGCAGACAGAACGTGCACCACGTATTTCAGGGTATTCACCCTTTTTGTCTAACCTATTTTCAGGGGACGATTTGGTTTATGGCTAGATGCTGACTTATACCATGGACGAAGCAACTCTTGCAGCACTTTCAATAATGACATTCTTTCCAAAAAGGAAGACTTCATAGTTCAGGACCTAGAGGTATGGACATTCGAGTGAACTTCAGTCTGCCTTAAACTGTCCCATGAAAAAGACTGGGTTGGCTCAGTCCTCCTGACGCTCACCAGAAGACGAAGAAGGTCCAGCCCCTGCTGCCTCATCCGACCACAATGCTTTCTTTCTGCCATCAGCTCTGAGCATGGTCACCTTGCAGAAAGACCCCGAAAGGTACGTGTGGCGGGCAGACACTGGAGAAAGACCTTTAATGGCCAGATTGCTGAGAAAAGACTTTGTACTTCCACTTCTTCCAAATCCACACCACGAGGAATCAAAGTGTTTATAGATGTATGAGTTGAATGCAATTTTTATTTTTGGTAACTGTGAAAAAAAAAATACTGTGGAAATATATACATGCCTTGTGTATTTATCAGCGTAATTTTCATTACCAAAATGTACAGCTGTTGTTTGCCATGGAAAAGGTTCGTCTCATTTAGAAAAATTGAAAGGAAATAACACTTAAAGAGAATGTATGATTTTTAAAAATTGTTTTATTTATTTCTAGTATATTGTCTGAAGTGTGTTAGCAGGTTTTGTTTCTTGTTAATATGTCAAATCTTGAAATAAATGTATACATTTTGTGCTATGTTTTGGGGAACACCTTTGTTTGATTTCTGTAGTTTTATAATGAATTTTTTTTGCCCTGATTGTTTAGGGCCATGATAGATCTTGAGCAGTGTATATATATATATATATA